TTTTTGAAACCATTAGTGAAAAGGCCAGACTTCAGGGGTATCTGAGGCAGGCTTGAAACACAAGAGTCAGGGTGGCTTCTGGGTAATACCAGATGGCTAGGCCTCAGACTGACGAAGCCTCTTAGATGAGGGGCGAAACGTTTCTTTTTAACAAAAAAAACGAAGTCCAGATGACATGATTCAACCTTTTTTGTTGTTATATACCTGGATGACTGAGAAAACAAACTTTGTGATTAAGACGTTTCATTGTTGGATTACTGTATTTTGTAGAATTAATGTACCTTTCAGTTTATTTTTTAGGTTTGTTAGTTTGAAGTACTTTGTCAGATTACTGTAATTTGTCAGAATAACATAATTTTTGTAGTCACAGATAATTGTAGTCTGTCTGGACATGGAAAAGAGAAAGCGAGTAATGAAAATCTTTGAATTGGTTGAAAATCAGACCCCGCCATCCTGAACTCGTCAACAGAATCCATTTTAACTCGTTAGAAACAATCAGACATAGTTACTGTTTAACATTTGAGCTTTTGCGATCTGATCAGAACTTTTGTCCAGTTCATATGTTTATGTTTTTTTATAAATCAGTTGAACAGATTGTCTAAAGAATATGAGACAAAACGATATGATCGTATGAAACGACTCTGTGTTCTCAGGGAGGAACAGAAAGATCTCTTTGTCTCGTGGGTCATGTTTGATGTGGAAGAAGTTTTGGTCTTGTGTGTTGGAAGGACCGTTCTGTTGACAGTTTTGCTTCGTGATATTTGATTAAAGAGATTTGGAGGTTTATTTGACCTGGACTAAAGACCATTTATTGTAAACTACATCTGTAGTAGAGACAGCAAACCTAATTCTTAAACAAGGGAAAATTAAAAATAAATAAAAAATATGTTCGTATCTTTTATGGGACAAATAAGGCCCCACTTTTCCCAGTTGTCAATAAGCGATTCACACCTCCTCCCCCAGCTGGTAGACATAACAGTGACTTATTCCACACAAGGAATGTGAGGGTTGTGACATTTCCCATCCCATTTCCTGCATTTCTTAACGCTTTATTTCTGTGAGAATGAGGCCATTTAAATGGGTTTTGTCTGTCACCCCCCCACCCCCCCTCGCACGCACACACAGACTGGACCATATTCACATCTAACCAGGCGTTTTGTTTCTCTCTGCAGCGAGGAAGAGGTTTTGCTAGCTCCTTCCATGTGGACATCCCAGAGACGGCGTGACTTTTTGCACAATGGCTCTCTGGCAAGCGGCTTTGAAAGAGCATCAAGTCTCGACCCCGTTTTGTCTTCCCCTGCCCTCATCCTTCTTTACCCAGCAAAGAAGGAGAGGGGGGGAGTGGGGGGAGGAAGAAGAGCAGGAAAGCTTATCTTCACTGCGAGGACTCGTTTTTCTCAGCAGGACTGAGAAACAAACAGGAGAAGAACTACTGTGGTGAAAAGACAAAGTGGACGCTGACCCACCTGCTATTTTCCACTCTGTGTGTGCCTGTTTACACCACGGACGCAGACTTTGTCGAAGACAAGAAACGCAGAAGAGGACTGATCCGAGCAAGAGCCTGTGGCAGAACCAGCCCTTGGCGGCAAACTGTACAGGAGACTCTTTTTCTGCATTTTCAAATGCAATACCACCGTTTTAGATTTTTCTATTTTTTTCGTGTGCTCAGTGTCTCTGGTACAATCTACTTTAAACTTTTTAAGAAAAGACTGTGTGCAACGTACTCATTGATTTTCTCCTAATTTATCATTTTTATGATTACGTTTAAATTTGGTTTGTTCACCACACGGAGGGCCCGGTTGGTGTTTGGCTTACACATCTGGTTTTGAGCCGTCCAGTAGTTTCTATCATGTGTGAGAAGTGTTTACTGTTCTCTTTTTGAGCTAAATATTAAACTCTATATAAATCTATCTATATCTACTCGTTCTGCTGTTTGTTGTTGAGTTTCACAGTTTTCTTCAGAGCTCTGACTCCAGTTTAAGTGCCAGGAAGGAAGATTTGTTGTGTGGGAAACTCCAAGAGTCCTCATTCATCCAATTATTTTATACTTTTTTTCCCCACTTTGGAATAATGACAAAAAAATGAAAAATCTTGTCTATAAATAAAATAAGGTAATAATAATTTAGGTTGAATATTCATGGTAATTTTGTGTTAGTGACCTACACTTTAAGGTTAAGGACAAAATAAATCATCTGAAACAAATGCAGTCTTGTATACAGTGGAGCTGGAACCCAGTATGCATATTTGTTTCTCACAGAATACAAACACAAATAAGCCAACAATAAACTGATTTTTTTTTTAAAGAAATGTCTCATCTTTTTTTTTAAGTTGTATGTTTTTGTAAAGAAACAAAAACAATTATTGGAGGTGGCCAATTCAAAGCAGCCAGTGAATGAAAAGACTGCAGATCACACACACACACACACACAGACTGTTCACTGAGTTTATTTTATTTTTTTTTACGTAATGTCCCCTCCAAAGTGACTAGAGACTCAGTCCAGGCTCTTTGGAGGTGTGGGTCCCTGTTTGGGCACCAAGGTGTATAATAAAACTTCTTTGTAATATTTATTCAGGAGTCCAGGATTGAAGTTTGACTAAATGTATGAAATATTCTTGCAGGGAGAGAGATGTGGCCCTTACATCCAAAATGGACGACACCCTCAAAGCCAATACAAAGTGCCGTCCTCACAGCAACATGAGCAACACTTCTCTGACCATCATTAAAGATACAATTATTCATACATCCCCAGCACCCAAGATGAAGGATTTCCTCCCCTTCCTCACCTTATCTCCTCCCGCACAGTTTGGCTTGTTTGCTGGAAATTCTGTTTAATTTAAGCAGTCAGGAAAGTTAAAAAATACTGTTAACTTGTATTTCTTGTTAACACCTGTAGACTTACAAGGTCAAACGTACAAAAACACTCTGACAGTAGGAAAAAGTAGAAAACATCTAGTTTTATCTCTTTCATTTAAGGTAGTACAGTCTTCATTTTTATGAAGTGGGGTTGTGTGAGGTAATGCAGTGTCAATGTCCTACCTGCAGCAGGCAGTGATCAGAGTGTATTACAGATAATGATTGTATCTGAATCATTCCACTTGTGTAAATGGACTGTACTTATATAGTATAACACCTTTCTATCTGATCAAGATACTCAAAGCTCTTTACAATCTGTGTCCTCATTTACCCATTCATACAGCACTCTACTAGATCTAATCAAAGCTAATTCCACAAATCATTCTAAACAGACTAATCAAGGCTTTAGATCACATTCATACACTGATGGGACACACATCGGAGGCAATGAGGTGTTCAGTATAGGGCTGAAACAATTCCTCGAATAATTCGAGGACCTCGATTACTAAAAATCCTCCATGCAAATTTATCTGCCTCGAAGCTTCATTAAAACTATTCAGTGCACTGTGGTCTAGCCAGAATGTTTTTGTGTTGCACAACGCTACCGCTTATGCTAGCGTTTTTGCTAACGCATATGTGCTAAGTTTGTAGCTATGGAGGGAACGGATACTGTCTAGAAGAAGAGCCCCGAAAACAACAAAAACTGTAAAAAGTTTGGGAACATGTTAGGCTAAACAGAAAAGACAACACAGCGAAATGCTTCCACTGCAAAGCAGAACTGGAGTAACCACAACAGCACGTCATCGATGTTTCAGCGTCTGAAGAGAAAACACCCGCTGCAGCATCAAACTCGTCCGCAGCTGCAACAGGTATCATTTATGTTCTCTTTGCAAAATACTTTAACCTAAATGTGTGATAATCTTTCATGTTAAAGATTTAAAATGAGGCATATTTTTGCTAACGTTACATCTACTGACAAATCATAGTGGCTACCTGGCAGGGTAAATGGTAAATGGACTGTACTTATATAGCGCCTTTCTATCTTATTTCAAGATACTCAAAGCGCTTTACTCTACAATCTTTGTCCTCATTTACCCATCCATACAGCACTCTAATAGATCTCTACAAAGCTAATTGAACAAACCATTCTAATGAAACTAATCAGTGCTTTATCACATTCATACACTGATGGGACACACATCAGAGGCAACGAGGGGTTCAGTGTCTTGCCCAGGGACTCTTCAGCTTGTGACTGCTGGTGGATTCGAACCCCCAACTCTCGCATTGGAGGACGACTGATCTAACCACTCAGCCACAGCCGCCCCCCAGGGTCTGTACGTTATGTGAGGAAAAAAAAAAACTGCAGGACTTGACGCAAGTTTTGTTAACGATAAAAGCAGCAACAGACTGACGGCATGAGCTGAAACACATTTATTTATTGATGTACTTCCATCCTGACTTAAATGAGATATTTAGGGTGAATATTTCAAGTGTAAATGTATTTACATGAGTTAGTAGGATTTTTTCTTTCTTGCTACTGCTGTTTATGATCTGCATTTATTACTACTGTCACATTTGTTTATAGCTAAGCAGTCAATACTAAATAATAATACATTCTGCAGAACTCAATGTACAAATAAACTTTACATTATCTATCTTACTCAGTTTCTAACATAAAGATTCCTTTCAGTTTTCCAATCCATAAAAAATATTTACGACATTTAGATTTTTATGTGATGGTTAAAATAATTCTGTGACAGAGGGTTTTAATTAAAGCATCCTCAAACTTCACACAAAAATAAAAGCATAAATCAAATACAACTGACATAACAACGTTACTTTGATTGTAGCAGGTCATCAGACAGTGTAGATTACTTAACAATATTACATAATTTTATAATATCCAGTGAAGTACACTTAAAAATTATTAAGAAATAACATTGAACAAACAAATAATAATTTTATTCTTCTTCTTTTCAGTGAATGGCAGAGTTATACGTTGGACAGCTTCGTACAAAGGGCTCCAGGATGTTCGGTTGTGCAGCAGCTGAGTTCACAAGCAGCATTTTAAATATGATCATCACAGACATGCAGCCGCTGTCTGTGGTGGAAGATGAAGGCTTCCAGAAGATCATGTCCACCTTCAATCCAAATTATGTCCTTCCTTCCAGATCCTACTTTTGGGCGGCTGTTGCTAAGTGTTTAGAGCAGTCGTCTTCCAATGCGAGAGTTGGGGGTTCGAATCCACCAGCAGTCACATGCTGAAGCATCCCTGGGCAAGACACTGAACCTGCATTGCCTCTGATGTGTGTCCCATTAATGTATAAATGTGATAAAGCACTGATTAGTCTCTTTAGAATGATTTGTTCAATTAGCTTTGTAGAGATCTAATAGAGTGCCGTATGAATGGGTAAATGAGGACACAGATTGTAGTGTAAAGTGCTTTGATATCTTGATCAGATAGAAAGGCGCTATATAAGTTCAGTACAGTCCATTTAAATTCTGTTCTGCTTTCCAATCCATAAAAAAATATTTTACAGCATTTAGATTTTTCTGTGATGGTTAAATAAAATTCTATTTAAGCAATAAACTATATTAAAAAAAGGAATTAAATGGGTTCTTTACTTAAATGTTCTTTTTTGTGTATCTGTATTGCTTATAAAATGAGTAGTTACTGCAGAACCTGACTAATTTTGTTTTTGATGACTCAATTAATCGCCAGAATAATCAACAGATCACTCGATTGCTAAAATAATTGTTTACAACAGCCTTAGTTCAGTGTCTTTCCCAGGGACACTTTGGCATGTGATTGCTGGTGGAACTGAACCTCCAACTCTTACAATGGAGGACGACTGCTCTGACCACTCAGCCACAGACGCCCATGTAACGTGAAGGCTCTGACATTATCCATCCTGGTTTGTGCATCTGTTAAACCTATAGTTCTACCAGGAGGAGGTCGTTAGATGGGTCTGCCCCTCAGACTACAGGAGGCCGTCTGATGGACAAACCAGTAGCTCCAAACTTCACATTGTGGATTTTTCCATCAGGTGATGGTTCCTCAACATCACAAACTGAATTCTGGATGTCCACCTTCACAGAGCACCGTTCATGGTTCCAACAATTTCAGTGAGTCGTCCTGAAACAAGAATGAACTGCAGTCTGAATCCTGAGCGAAGCGGTAATTCAGGAGATTTTATTTTACCAGCTTACTTTGTCAAAGTGTTTTGTTGAGCGCTGTGGGATGGTCGGAACTGAAATGAAAACTTATTTTCTCTGTGTGTTTCAAATGTTTTTTTTCTGGAAATGTTTTGTTATTTCATATGAAGTTGAGTTTTTATATAAACTGAGACACCACCCTGCTGTAAATTAGTAACTAACTTTTACTCAAAGTAAAATTTTACTTGTATTTGAGTAAAATTTCTGTAAAGTAACTGTACTTTTACTCAAGCATGTTATTTTAGTACTCTTTCCAGCTCTGCTTACTTAGTACACACCTTGTACTTACAGGGTACTTGGTATGCTCCTGTTATCTACAGAAAAATAAGTAAACGTATCTGGTACTTACTTCGTATGTATCTTGTACTTACCAGGTACAACCTGGTACCTACAGGGTACCTGGTACTTATGTTACTTGCTGGTTATGCCATTTGTAAGTATAAACTAAGTACCAGGTACTGGGCTATATTATGTATTTCACCTAACCAATCTGCCAGCTGCATCATGTAGTCTGACTCTTAATCCGTGCACTTTATTGTAGTTTATATTGCAGTATCCAGAATCATTGATAGTTTACCAGACGGTGTTTACTGCTAGAACAGACTTGTTATTTGTATGTATGTATGTATGTTTTATTTATTCATTTCATTTCATCCAAACAACAAATATAATACAATTTAAAGAAAAGAAAAAAGATATACAATCACAGAA